GCATTAAGATGCCATCGTTTTGTTATGCACTCAAATAACTATAGCTGAATTGACCTTGCTGGATCCCTGTAGCGAATGTCTTGGTATTCATGCTTCAGAGTGATAATCTCTTTCAAGTCCACAGACCCTAGATTTATTGCAAAACATTTTAATAACGTCACCGTTTCATTTTCCTAATTTATTATCTAGGTGACTACGCAACGAGGTATTTCATGGTCTGCGGCCATGGAACTCTATGCAAAGCATGAAGGCGCTTATGACGGTTTCTATCTGCCTGTACCTCAAAGCAACACACGCCTTCTCATTCCAATTTTGGCAATATATTTTCGTTCACGATCCGCGAAACCAGGGGGGAAGTCGGAGCCTGAGACTCGCTTGTATCGCATCTATCGGCCAAATACAGGCCTGCAAGCACGTCTGATCGAGCTGGATCGCCTTCGCGAACGATACACTAGAGTTGCAAATCCATCTGACGAAGCTTGTCAAGGAGCCTGGAAACGAGTGTTTCAGGAGAGCGCCACGAAGTGTATCCATCTGTTGCAACAACAATTCTGCCCTAAGACGGCCACTGCCCATGCTCAAGTGCAGGCTCGCCTTTTACAGACCCCCTCTGGACCTGAGGCTACTCTTCCTGGTGGCGATACTCCCACTCATGTCGGTGTTTGTGAGGCTGGACTTCGAACGCGCACACATTACGTGCTCAGTGGCTCCGTGCTTAATGTCTGGCCACGCATTGAGCCCCTTTTGATGCAGGCGCGTTTGTCAGCAGCTGGTCCTGCTGGACAGGCTGCCCGTTGCATGCAAGTAGTTCGACTGAAGCCTCGTGATGGACGACGTATTGTCGGTTCGCTAATCCCACATGAAAGTGTCGATGATATCCTTGCCTGCCTCTCTCAGCCGGCTGAAGAGGTGGCTGTCACAAGTAAGTCAGGGCCTTTCAGAAACTGTCAGCAAATATACACACAGGTGTTTCAATGAGGCATATACGACTGGTCATTTATGACTGAAACCATATTCCTCATTGATCTCTGAATGAAAACTAAGCAAACTAAACGCCATCATTTGGTCTGCCATGAACATAAGAATGGTTTGGTTTGGAGGATGAGGGCTGAATGAGATGGTTTCTAGGGTACTGTCTGAGACATAAACTGGGTAAGCATCGTCCTTACACAGAGGTCCAATTGATCTATACCATTGCAGAATAGGAAAGGATCGACATCGTATATTATATAGGCTTATGCACTTGACATTTAAGGGTGGCTAGCTCACTACAAGGTACAAACCTCAGGTACAGAGATATAATGACAAAGGAGGTCCATGTTGTAGGTAAGATGAACGTTGCAGCTCTCCATAGGCGATTCCATAGGGCAGACTGATGGTATCGAGACGAGAATAGCACACAATAGCACCTCAGGCGATAAAAAGCTGGCCACTTCAAGGAAGATGGAGGCCCTGGAGAGGCCTAGGAGTTATAATTTCTCCCTGCTTAAACGCTTGCGTGATGTGAATGTCGACTTCTGATTGGTGCAAGGAGTCATGGTCTGGTAGACTCTGTACAGTAGTGAGGTTTGATTGGTCCAAGTCGGGTCCATGTGAGGTATGTTCACAAGTGCTAAGTGAGTCCTAAGTCGTAGCTGCGATCATGATTTACTGAGCTAATCGTTGTATTGGTAAAGGGTAGATAAGTGTTGGTTCGACGTTTTCGCAACTTGGTCGGAGCGTCAGGGAGACCTTGTGGAACGTAACTAGTCCCGTGTCCTTTGCCATAGCATTCGTGATTTCCAGCATTGGATTATTGGCTGGGTACATTCCCAAACGTTTCGCAGGGATCGTAGTCGGCATCGTCAGTGAGAGGCACCATCGTCAGCAATGCTGGAAATCACGAATACTATGGCAGAGAACACGTAAATAGGTACGTTCCACAAGGTCTCCCTGAAGCTCCGACAGGGTTGCGAAAACAAGGTCGTACCAACACTATAAAGCTAAATGAGACTTCGACCAGACTGAAGGCCACTCCGTCTTGGCCTTCATATCTAAGGGTAGATAAGGTCTATTTTAATAAGTTATATCCCTGATCATGTATAAACTATGATCTAATTAACTATACTTAATAAAACACTTAAGCTCTTTGGTGAGATACTTTTCACTCATTACCTTTTAGTTAATAAGGCTTTAAGGTTTAAGTTTAGGATGAAGTAAAGATCATTTGATCACTCTTATAATAGGATCACATTTCCTAGTCTTGGGTGCTTGGACTACTATTATGATAGAAGTGGATTTACCTCGTTTTCCCAGCTTGGTCTTGTTGTCAGGACGGCTTGGTTAGACGCACCTTGTCCGAAGTCCTCTCCAATAATAGTTATCATAATTTTCGACGTCAGACCGTGGACTTGGTCAGACATTTCACGGTATCGTAGTCGACATCATTAGTGAGCCTTGCCATTCTCAGCACCAAGCTATAATTCGTCAGAGACTAGTGAGGTCGCGTCTGAGGTACATCTGCGAATGTACTAATTCCACGGTATGACGATGGGAATTGTGATAACTATGGCAAATAACTTCGGATAAGGTACGTCCAACTAAATCGCCCTGACAGCAAGATCAAGTTGCGAAAACAAGGTCAACCCACTTCTATACACCGTAGAGAGATTTCGACCATACTGAGGGCCTTTATCTTGGCCTTCATATCTTCGATTATACTATTATAATAACTTATATGAATTTAAAAAATCCAC